CCCAATGTGGCAGTACTGAGAGGTGGGGCCTTTAATAGCTGATTCGGTCATGAGGGCTCTGCCCTCATAAATAATCTATTAATGGATTAATGGGTTCATGAATCAATGGATTATCATGGGAATAGGACTGACAGCTTTATAAGGAGTGGAAGAGAGACCTAAACACACTCAGTCCCCTTATATGAGGTCCTGCACCTTCTAAGAATTCAGCAGACTCCCCACCAGCAAGAAGGCCCTCATTAGATGTAGCCCCTCAACCTTGGACGTCCTTCTCATCCTCCATAACTGCAAAAAATAAATTCCTTTCTTTATAAATTATCCAGTTTCAAGCCAGACATGGTGGCTCACAGCACTCTGGGAGGCCAAGGCGGGCAGATAACTTGAGGTCAGGAGTTCAAGACCAGCCTGGCCAACATGGTGAAACCCCATCTCTACTACAAACACAAAGATTAGCCAGGCGAAGTGGCACACAACTGTCCCAGCTACTCGGGAGGCTGAGTCACCAGAACTGCTTGAACTCGGGAGTTGGAGGTTGCAGTGAGCTGAGACGCCACTACTGCACCCTAGCCTGGGTGACAGAGTGAGACTCTGTCTCAAAAAAAAAAAAAAAAAAATTACCCAGTTTCAGGTATTCTGTCATAAGCAACAGAAAACAAACCACGCCAGGAGTCTAATACATTTACATGTATTATGATTATTTCTTTCAAATTATTTTGAGTTTTCTCTTTACTGACAAAGCATTTCCTTTTTTTAACTTTTATTTTAGGTCAGGGGAACATATGAACTTTCATTATACAGGTAAACTGTGTGTCACGGGGGTGTGGTGCACAGCTTATGCGTCATCCAGGTAATAAGCACAGTAACTGATAGGTATTTTTTTCTGATCCTCTCCTTTTTCCCACCCTCTCCCCTCCAGTAGGTCCCAGTGTCTGTTGTTCCTCTCTTTCTATGTGTTCTCATTGTTTAGCTCCCACTTGTAAGTGAGAACATGCAATATTTGGTTTTCTGTTCCTGCATTAGTTTGCTAAAAATAATGGGCTCCAGCTCCATCCATGTTCCCACAAAAGACATAATCTCATTATTTTTTATGGCTGCATAGTATTCCACAGTGAATATGCACCATGTTTTCTTTATCAAATGTCACTGATTGGCATTTAGATATTGTGAATAGTGCTGCAATTAATATTCACATGCATGTGTCTTTATGGTACAATGATTTATATTCCTTTGGGGATATATCCAGTAATGGGATTGCTGGCGTGAATGGTAGTTCTGTTTTTAGCTCTTTGAAGAATCGCCAGACACTGCTTTCCACAATGGCTGAATTAATTTACACTCCCACCAACAGTGTATAAGCATTCCCTTTTCTCCACAACCTTGCCAGCATCTCTTATTCGACGTCTTAATAATAGTCATTCTGACTAGTGTGAGATGGTATCTCATTGTGGTTTTGATTTGCATTTCTCTGATCATCAGTGATGTCGAGCTTTTTTCATATGCTTGTTGGCTGCATGTATGTCTTCTTCTGAGAAGTTTCTGTTCATGTCCTTTGCCCACTTTCTAATAGAGTTGTTTTGTAAATTTAAGTTCCTTACAGATGCTGGATATTAGACCTTTGTCAGATGCGTAGTTTGCAAACATTTTCTCCCATTCTACACGCTGTCTATTTGCTCTTTTGATAGTTTCTTTTGCTGTGCAGAAACCGTTACATTTAATCAGATCCTATTTGTCAATTTTTGCTTTTGTCGCAATTGCTTTTGGTGTCTCTGTCATGAAATCTTTGCCCGTTCCTATGTCCAGAATGGTATTGCCTTGATTGTCTTCCAGAGTTTTTATAGTGTTGAGTTTTACATTTACATTTAAGTCTTTAATCCATCTGCAGATGATTTTTGTATATGGCGTAAAAAAGGGGTCCAGTTTCAATTTTCTGCATAGCCAGCTATCCCAGAACCATTTATAGGGAACCATTTATTCCCTATATGAATAGGGAATCCTTTCCCCATTGCTTGTTTTTGTCAGTTGACAGACCATTTCTTTAAAGTGCTCCGTTATTATCTTCAGATTTTCTTCCAAGCACTTGATCTTACCAAAAGTGTCACTAAAAGATTTTCAGACTATAATCAAAGCCATTACTTCCTCAAATGGTCCTTAAATGGTCTGTTAACTGAAATATCAAAGCATTGTAGCTGTCCAATTATGCAACGAAGTTTGCACAGGCAATTAAACTACACCATAAATGCTGTCTTATCAACCATGACTATACAATACCATCAACTAAAAATGCATTCTGATTTCATATGAGGAAAAAAAAAATACCTCCATTTTCTTTTTCTCTGAGGCCTAGGTCTGAATTTATTTAACCTACTTAATACCTACAATGTACTTTCAATATGAGGGTTCTTGAATTTCTTCAATTCTGAAACATTTTGAGCTGTTTACTCTTCAAATATTACTTGTCCCTCCATCTCCTCCATTTTTTTCCTTCTGAAATTAGTATTAGATGAATGTTGGTAACGTTTGCTTCTCCTACTATGCTCTGGGTAAGGTCCTTCCATACTATCTTCAAAACTCATTCTTTGACTCTATCAAGTCTAAAGTTTCTTTTCTCTATTGCTTTTTAAAAAGCTCAATAACGATATTTTTCATTTCTAAGTTTTCTAATTAGCTGGGTTTTTTTCTATCTAGTAGATTGTTCCATTACGTTTAATTTCTTAATCTTCTTTAATGTAAGTTTATGTTTATTTGAACATCCTCAAGACATATCGTTTTTGTTCATATTTTATAAATTTAAATTTCATCTGGAGTAAATTCTTATTCCAATTATTGAATTTATTGGTTGCTCTAGTATTAGATTTCTTAGGTGTGCTCTACAATTTTGGTTGTTTGCTCATTCAGAAGAGTTTTTTTTGGATTTTGCCCTCTTTTCTCTTCTCTCTCTCCCTCCATCAGTACTGCTGAACATTCATAGAATAAAACATAAACAGTACCTCCTAGAATTGTGTTATGCTTTACACTTTATGCTCACCCATCCCCAAGCAGTTTTCAGGTTATCTCCTGCCACCCCTCCAAGGCCCCAATTTCATTTCAGTCTTATGAAAGTAATTTTTAATTACTTCCCTGCAAGAATATTGTAGATATGGCCAAAATCGTCATGAAATGGTTCTTTGGCTTGATTTCAAGTCAGGATTGTGTCTCTGTATCTGTGTCCCTAAATCCCCAACTTCCAATAAGGCTTTAGTTCTTGTCAGCAACCCAAGAGCTTTCTTTTCTCCCTATCTATAGTTTTAGGCAATGAGTCAGGCTCTTTGTACCTCATCCCAAGAGGGGAGCTTTTAGTCCCTTTTGCCACATAAGAGCCAAATTCCACTGCCCACTTTAGGACTTTTGAGTTCAACAGCTTGCATAATCAATCTCTACGTGCCATTTTGGATTTCTCTTCTATTCTGGTCCACAGAGATAAAATATTATTCTTTTTGGACCCTGTTATTTTGTCCCTTTTTATATTTTATTCATAATTGCTATGTCTGAAGCAGAGGGTGTTTTCAAACCATGAATTTACTGTGTCTCATTTTTACCCCTCCCAATTTTTACTATACAAATCCAATTTTTATCTATTATAAACAATATATTGCTCCAAATTCATTTTTTTCATCTGTGACACAGTCCCCAGAAGGTCCTGAGATCACGTGCCTTATTGCTCTAAATTCTAAATCACCTATTTTCATTTTTCCACATTCCCTTCTAGTTTTTTGCCCATGTATAGTCATATATCATATTTCATTGGTTAGTTGTTTAAAATATTTTGGACCTCAGGTATATAGAAATGGATTAATTACATTATCACAAGTCTTTAACAGCCCCTCTTAATTACATGATATTAATTTCTGAGTTGATTTGGTTACTCAGACTTGTAACAGAAGGCTTTCTATCACCATCTATTGTTAAAAATTAACTCTATTATCAAACTTCAACGTAAAACTATTATTCCGTTTAACAGCTTCATCAAAAATAAAGTATCTGTGCATTTAAACATGTAAAAGTATATAAAGACACAGCTCTTTTACAGTCATAATCATACTATTGGTACACTTTGGTTTTCTTTTTTTACCGGATATTTCAAACGTTTTACAAAGCTTTCAAAATTATTGCTCCACATGGCTCATTCTTAAGTGAGATATACCACATCAAATAAGTAAATGGTTAAACTGTTTTGAAAGGAGAAATAAAAAAGCCACTTTCCATTAAAACATAAATGGAAGAAAAGGTTGTGGTTTACCACAATGCTACATAAATGTGCTCAAAGTCAGCAATAAATCACCACAACACAAGTTTAAAGATTATGTGCAAGTACCTATATCTTTCTAAATATACCAAAATCTTGTTTCAAAACAATTTTACCTCATGGTTAAATTTTACACAAAGTAATTACCCCATCAATTATATTACTACAAAAATATCCTGAAAATGTGTCACTAACATTTTAAAAATCATTGTTTTTTTGTTTGGGTGTGGTTGTTCACGCCTGTAATCCCAGCACTTGGGGAGGCCAAGGCGGGCGGATCACCTGAGGTCAGGAGTTCGAGACCAGCCTGACCAACATGGTGAAACCCCATCTCTACTAAAAATACAAAACTAACCGGATGTGGTGTGTCATGCACCTGTAATCCCAGCTACTTGGGAGGCTGAGGCAGGAAAATCACTTGAACCCAGGAGTCAGAGGCTGCAGTGAGCCAAGATTGTGCCACTGCACTCCAGCCGAGGCAACGAGAGCAAAACACCGTCTCAAATCAATCATTGTTTTTTAATGTGCTTGCTAACCTATTGACCACAGACAACACACTTGACAAATCTTGTGTTTTACTTGGGTAAATCACTAGGACTGTAAGGCACAGTGTCTTCACTTTAAAATGAGATAATTTTGAGTTTGATCTAAATATTAAATGCAATTTTGTATGTCAAGGTGCTTTGAAACCACAGATACGTTATTTTATCATGATTACCTTTTCTATTTCTCTTTGTGTAGCTCCTTCTTTTTTCAAACGCTCCTGTTCTACACACTTGGCATTGTAATTTTCCTTGGATTTCTGGAGGGCCTGAGTTATGCTCTGAATGGTTTGGACAGCTTCCAGAGTTCCTGCAACTTCTTCTTTAGTCTGTTTAGTATGAAACGATTCATCAAAATGACTGAACTGTAAAGTATTCAATATCTGACCAATCGATTCTTTAACAAGAAAAAAAACTGATACCTTTTTATGAGATTTTACTTGTTCTTCTCCATACTTCTGAACTTCCTTTATTAATTCTTGCAATTTTCTAACAAGATCCAAGTGACAATTTGCTAATTTCTCTGTAGATGTTTTGAATACATCCCATACTGGTGCAAATGTTCTAAGAAAATAAAAAATATGGGAGTAACTTATTAAAAGTAAAAAAAAAAAATTACAGTTCTAACAAGGAACCAATGGAAACAATAGTGGTATATACGGCAACCTTATTTGGGCAAAAGATGAAACTTAAATACTGAATAAAATGATTGACGGACTGACCTTGAATTTTTTTATCACTGGTTATTTAAAATTGGTTATTTTTATCCATGGTTATATTTTTGGACCTCAGGAATATAGAAATGGGTTAATTACACTATCACAACTCTTACTCCTCTTAATTATATTAATTTCTGAGTTGATTTAGTTGTTTAAACTTGTATCAGAAGCCTATCACTGTCTATTGTTAAAATTTAACTGTTATCAAACTTCAATTTAGTATTCTATTTAAAATGCTTCATCAAAAATAAAGTTTCTGTGAATTTAAACACTCAAAAGTTCAATTTTTAGATAATTATTCTTTCCATAATTGTTATGGCAATGAGCACATCTCATTTTAAATGTATTAATTATTTTCATTTTTCAAGGAACATATTTTTTAATACAAATTTTTTAAAGGAAGATCTAATGACAGTCTATAAAATCACAGGAGACATTTTTAATGCATCTTAATCATTTCAATAAAGTTTATCTTAAGTGAGTTTTTAAAGATCACTGTTAAACTACCTCAGAATTTAAATGAACTTAACAGCCAACCAGAATAAATACACTGCATGTGCATAAGATAATATTTATAACCTCAAACACTATTGAATGACTAAGTAGTTTTTAAAAAGGGAAAAAATAAATTTCATTTACTTTTGATTACTTTTGACTACATTGACTGATTCGGCAAGTTCAATTATATTTTCTATCAAGTGAAGAATATATTAATATTCACAGATACTTTTAAAATAAGCATATATTTTACTATGCTTTTGAACTGTTATGTCCTCAATAGGAACTTAGAATCCTCAAGAACTCTGCCTAAGTGAACATTGAAAAAGAGGAAGAAATTAACTCACCCAAGTTGTGAATAATTGCTTGCAGATTTTGCTAGTTTTGTCATTGACCTGGAGTATGCCTCCTCTATGGTAGCTCTGTTAAATGAAATATCCACATCATAATATCTCTTGTTTAGTGACCAAAAACAGCAAAGTTATCAAAATACAATTAAAAATGCAACAACAAAAAGATACCTCAAAAATGACATGTTAAAAATAAGTACATATATGTAGTCATGAATTGCTGGCCTATCTTTAACTGTTCTTTCTGGTACAGAACTAAAATAATTTATATCACACACACAAATTTTTTTGAGACAGAGTCTTGCTCTGTCACTCAGGCTGGAGTATAGTGGTATGATCATAGCTCACCGCAGTCTTGACCTCCTAGGCTTAAGCAATCCTCCCACCTCAGCCTCCTGAGTAGCTGGCACTACAAGCATGCCCCACAACACCCAGCTAATTTTTGTATTTTTTTGTAGAGATGGGGTCTCGCTATGTTGCCCAAGTTGATCTGGAATTCCAGGGCTCAAGCAATCCTCCCACCTCGGCCTCCCAAAGTGCTGAGATCATAGGCATGAGCCACCATGCTCAGCCAGAGAAAAAATTTTAATGGAGTCACAACTCTTTTTATCTTTAGTACCAATGCTTATCTGAACAGGAAATATAAGAGTGCTACTTCTTGTAAGCTGATTCACTGTGATAAGTGTGTCATTTGTATTTAATACTTCCTTGTACTTAGTTTTATTATTCTTCAACACTGTGATGCACATTTAATAGAACAAGAGATTAATGACAGTCATTTGCACAAAATTAAATACGAATCATCAAGTCTGAAATCCTGAACTTCATTCATGGCTTAATTTATTTTGTGATTAGATCTAAAATATTAGCAAATATTTCACACTAGAATACTATGTTTTATATAACTACCATTTAGCTTATGAGATTTTATTCTGTAAAAAACATCCATAGCCATTAAATACAGAATTCTAAAAGATATAAATTATACTATAGACATGTCACCTATAAATACAGAATATACATTTTGTATGGCCTCCTTTTTGTTCTATTTTTGAGACAGAGTCTGGCTCTGTCACCCAGGCTGGAGTACGGTGGTGCGATCTTGGCTCACAGTAACCTCCACCTCCTGGATTCAAGTGATTCTCCTGCCTCAGCCTCCCGAGTAGCTGGGACTACAGGCACCTGCCACCATGCCCAGCTAATTTTTGTATTTTTAGTAGAGACAGGATTTCACTACATTGGTCAGGCTGGTCTCAAACTCCTGACCTTGTGATCTGCCCCACTTGCCCTCCCAAAGTGCTGGGATTACAGGCATGAGCCACCGCGTCCAGCCTGTATAGCCTTCTTAACACTACAAAACTTACAGTTTTACCTTTCGCCTGGCTCTTCTCAATGTGTGCTACCCTTAATAGGGGAACATTCTACAACCACCATTTATCCCTCCATTTACTTTGATTAGTCCAACTAACTTTCTGCTTCTAATTTCCAAATCCAGATCTTCACACTGCTCTTGCACTAACCCATCTATCTGTTCAATATCCAACTACCCCAAACATAATTAAGATATTTGAACCACCTCAAACTCAGAATATCTAAACTCATCTCCAAACTCTTCCCCAACCGAATCTGCACAAAAACCAGCTCTCTAACAAAAACAAAATATTAACAGTAACTGCCTCTCACTGATGGTACTGTGACTCTTTCCTGCTCCTTTAAGCTCTTCTGTCATTTAAAAATACTATTACTACAAGAGTAATACTTTGTTCATCCAAAAAAGTTAATATTTATTAGTATATCAATGGGTAAGTTTAACAGCAGGGTAAAGAGGTTCAATTTCCAGTACAGATTAAACATACCTCATCAGCCAGGCATGGTGGTTCACGCCTGTAATCCCAGCACTTTGGGAGGCTGAGGCCGGCAGATCACCTGAGGTCAGGAGTTCAAGACCAGCCTGGCCAACATGGTGAAACCCCATCTCTAATAAAAATACAAAAATTAGCTGGGCATGGTGGTGGGCGCCTGTAATCCCAGCTACTCGGGAGGCTGAGGCAGAAGAATCGCTTGAATCCAGGAGGCAGAGGCTGCAGTGAGACAAGATCATGCCACCGCACTCCAGCCTGGGCAACAAGAGTGAAACTCTGCCTCAAATAAATAAACAAGCAAGCATCTCTAATCAAAATATCAGAAATGCTCCAAAATCTATATATTTTTTGAGGACCAACATGATGCCAAAAGCAGAAAATTCCACACCTGACCTCGTGACAGGTCATGGTCAAAATTCAGTCAAAACTTTGTTTCATGTAGAAAAATTATTAAAATAGGCCAGGTGCGGTGGCTCACGCCTGTAATCCCAGCACTTTGGGAGGCCGAGGTGGGCAGATCATGAGGTCAGGAGATGGAGACCATCCTGGCTAACACGGTGAAACCCGTCTCTACTAAAAATACAAAAAAATTAGCTGGGCTTGGTGGCACACACCTGTAATCCCAGCTACTCAGGAGGGTGAGGCAGGAGAATGGTGTGAACCCGGGAGGCAGAGGTTACAGTGGGCCAAGATCGTGCCACTGCACTCCAGTCTGGGTGACAGAGCGAGACTCTGTCTCAAAAAAAAAAAAAAAGAAGAAGAAAAAGAAAAATAGTTAAAACATTGTATAAATATTTAAAATATTGTATAAGATTACCTTCAGGCTGTGAGTATATGGTGTGTAGAAAACAAACAAATTACAAGTTTAGACTTGGGTCTCACCCCCAAGATTACTTGTTATATATATGCAAATACTCCAAAATCTGAAAAAATCCTAATTCTAAAAGACTTCTGGTACCAAGCATTTCAGATAAGGGATACTTAACCTGTAACAGCGAATCAGATTATTGACACAAAAACTTTTCTCACTGAGGAAAATTTAGAAAACATGGTAAGTTGAGGGTGGAGGCAAGGTAACTGAAAAGCATTAGAAAACTTAAGGGGCAGTTAAGAATAAAGATCCAAGAGAAGGGTATCCAGACAAGTCAGTCAGGTATGTGGGGCAACTTCTTCCTGGAGGGTATCCAAAAGAGGTCACTGATCAGTTGAGAAATGAAACAGCTTTTCTCAGCCTCACAGGGTAAGGGAGACAAAAATAAAAGAGTTCAGGTCCAGTAAAGGTAGAGAGCATAGAAAAATCCCATGCCCTTCAAGTAGAGACTCCAAAAGAAGAAAAAAAAAAAAGCAAATTACAGATCTAGAAAATACAACCACCAAATTAATAACTCCTTGGATGGGGTTTAGCAGCTGATTTGATATTCTATATTGAGATTTATACCATAAAAGGGAGATGGAAAAAAAGGAAAATTAAAAAAAAAAAGAGATTTAGTTAATTAAAAGATAGATGAGAATAATTTATCCAACATTAAAGTTCGGAAAGACAAAAAAGAATGTGAAGAGATGTAAAGGACAAAGCAAGAAAAGTCCAATAAATGAGTAAAGAGAAAGAATGAGTTAGAGAAAATATTTGAGGAAATAATAACAGGGAATTTTCCAAAACTGATAAAAGATATCAAACCACAGATCCAAGCAGCCCAACAAACTTCAAGAGGATAAATTGTTTAAAAACAATTACATCTGGTCCTAGTCACATTATAGTAAAAACTGCTGAAAATTAAAAAGAGAAAGAACAAAATAAAGATATTTTAAAAGCAACCAAACTCTTCCCACCACCAAATGTTACCTTCAAAGAACCAGTAACTAGACTGATAGCTAACATCTCAACTGTAGATAATGGAACGATCTTCAAAAAAACTTAATTAAAAAAAAAATCTACCAACTGGAATTCCATACCCAGCAAAAATATAAATGAAAGCAAATCCTTAATAAAATAACAGATCTAGGTTATCATCACCAATGGCCACTAACATCACAAAACAGTTACATTTGGATAATATATGCCTCTGGTGGAAGTACACATCACCACCTAAGAAGTATTTTTTCCAAAATACTAGAGGCGGGCGCGGTGGCTAATGCCTGTAATCCCAGCACTTTGGGAGGCTGAGGCGGGGGGATCACCTGAGGTCAAGAGTCTGAGATCAGCCTGGCCAACATGGTGAAACCCTGCCTCTACTAAAAATACAAAAATTAGATGGGCGTGGTGGCATGCACCTGCAATCCCAGCTACTTGGGGAGGCAGAGGAAGGAGAATCACTTGAACCTGGGAGGTGGAGGTTGCAGTGAGCCAAGATCATGCCACTGCACTCCAGCCTGGGTGACAGAGTGAGACTCAGTCCAAAAAAAAAAAAGTACTGAATAGAATCTGATCACGCTGCTAGATTTAAATGACAATTTTTAGGAAATTCAGGGATAAAGGAAGATATTTAATAAACTACACATATGCAATTAGCATATTCCAGGATATGGGGCCCTATTAGAACAAATAATCTGGTTTCTTCAACAACAAAAGGTAAGGAGGTGGGTGGCTATAGATTAAGAGACTCAAAAGGCATATCAACCAAGTGTAACATATAGAAATCAGGCCAGGTGCAACAGCTCATGCCTGTAATCCCGACTCTTTGGGAGGCTGAGGCAGAAGGATCGCTTGAGTTCAGGTGTTTCAGACCAGCCTGGGCAACCTGGTGAACCCTCATCTCTACAAAAAAAAATACAAAAATTAGCTGGGCATGGTGGTGCATCCCTATAGCCCAAGCTACTTGGGAGGCTGGGGTGGGAGGATCATTTGAGACCAGGAGGTCAAGGCTGCAGCCTGGATGACAGAGTGAGACCCTGTCTCAAAAATAACAACAATAATAATAATAAATTTTTGGCAATAAACCTTAAAGTTTGGATAAAATTAAGACATTCATAGAAAAATAAAACTTTTCAAACTCACAGAACTAAAAAATCTGAATGGTCCTGTAATGATTAAAGAAATTAAACATGTAATTTAAAACCTTCCTACAAAGACAATTTCAAGCCCAGATGGCTTTACCAGAAAATTCTATTACATACATAAGGAAAAAACAATAATCTTGCAAAAATTTTTGCAGAAAATACAATAATAGGATATACTCCCCAATTCACTTTATGAAGCCAACAAACTTTGATACCAAAACCTAACAAGGACACTTAGAGAAAGAAAATGTTCAGGCCAATCTCACTCACAAGTATAGATGTAAAAATTGCACACACAATAGCAGCAAATTGATCCACTAACATATAAAACGAATAACCACATCTCCACCAAATTGTGCTTAGACCAAGAATGGGGAATTGATTTAACACCCAAATTTCAATAATTCACATAATTGACACGCTGTGAGGAGAGAAAAAGAAAAA